AGTTGTCATCCTCCCCGCCACCCAAAGCCAACAGAAGCAGAGATACAGCAAGAGGGGAGGGGGCAGGAAGGTTTAGGGGACTCAACATGGATTCATCACCATGGTGTCAAGTGCTGTTGGCTAATTAATTGCCCTTAATCTACCAGAGGGCAAGTTTTCTGTTCATTAATTTATTTCAGAGATGTGCTCTCTCTCTCTCTCTCTCTGAATTACAGGCGAGGGGACGGGGGGAGATCAAATCTATATTTGATCAGAACCATGACCCATCTAAGGCTTGCTCTGAGAGACGTCTCGGAGAATGCAGTCGGAGTTCCTCCACTGTGTTTGTGCCTTTTTCACAGCCTGCGACTCCCTTAACACAAGGGTGCTTGTTTGGAAGCCATTATTCTGCCGATCCTCATCTTCACCCACTTAGGAAGATTGACTTTGCCTCCACAGCTGTCGCCAATCAATGGTGGAAACACAGCCACAATCTTTGCCAGCTCGTGAGACTTTCAGCCAACTGGGTATTTACTGTTAGAATTGCTTCTTCTTACTTTACCCGGGTTTTTTATTGCAACCTAAGTTTCTTAGTCTGGGTGTCATGGGCCAGGAGTTAGCTTCACCTGATGAACAGCAACCTGAAGGGGGAGAAGTGACTCCATCAGTCTTCGCAGAGGAGAAGGCACTGATGAGAACCAGATGGCTCTGGCTGTCTTAAAATAGAGCTCTCAGCAGCAGTCAGATGCTGGAAACAACACCTGCAGTTCTTGGCCCTACCTTGCTGCTTCCTGGTCTCCATCTGGATCCCCTGACTTCTGGACTGGATCCCTGGCTCTGTGACCATCTGGAATCCCTGACCTCTGGACTGTCTGACTTTTTATGTGGATTCTGCTCTCAGGCAAGAGTTCCTCGGGGACTTAGTTACTCCCTGCTTGCTCGGCAACGGGACTCGGATGGGGCTATGTCACTGGGTCATCAACCACAAGAACAAAGGTTGCAACCTGACTCTCCCAGGAAGAACGTCAGGGCAATGTGACCTCAGCTATTGACTAGAGGAGTGGCTGTAGAGAGCTTGGAAGAATACCTGACTCAAACTGACCTTTGCTCTCAGACTGCTGGTGTGCGGGGAAGCCAACGCTGACCTCTGCCACTAGTGAGAGGAACAAGATCGCCTGGGTTGGCTGAAGCTCCTCTCTTCAAACAAGGCCACCCATAGTGTAAGACAGCTGTGGGGAATCTTTGGCCCACCAGAGGTTGCTGAACCAACAGCCAAGGCTTCCTCCAAGAATCCTGGGAAGCATAGTTTGTTTACAATGCTGAGAGTTGCTAGGAGCCTCCCCATTCCCTTCACAGAGCTACAATTCACCGAATTGTTTAACCATCAATCAATTGATGGTTTAACCATCAATCCTCATCAGTTAGAACTCTGGGAACTCTAGCTCTGTGAGGGCAGTAGGGATCTCCAAACAATTCTCAATACCCTAATCAAACTACACTTCTCATGATTCTATGGGGAAGCAATGGTCATTTAAAGTGTTATAATAGTGATTTAAATGTATGGTATGAATGTGGCCCAAATCTGGCAGCCATATAAAGGATCATAAGTGCTCCGTCATCCCTCAAAGGCAGACAATCCCTCTCCCTAATAACTCTCAATGAACAAACACTGCTATTTGCGTATTCTTTAGCAAAATTCCCATCTCCCCTTTTTATTAGGAGTCAACCGGTGGGCCATCTCTCATCCCAGGAAGGCTCACCAAACAGAAACAATTTCCAAATCCCGGCTGAAGACGGGATTTTTGTTGTTGCTACAACAAGTTGGAAACCTCACAAAACGTTGCTAAGAAATGTAGACAATATTTCTTCATTTGATTGAGCTGGAGGAAAATGTAGAAGACTATTTACTTTTCATAACGAAAAGAATCTGACAAAAAGGCTGGAGGCCACCACAAGTTTGGCTAGCAAGATATTTATCTCCTCGCGTGCTTGTTATGTCTCTCAGTCAAAGTCACCAGCAAGCTGGAGATTGTGAGGCTTCGGAGGAAAAGCATGCTTAAATTACTGCTATGTTAGCAAAGTGTGCGAAGGATTGTTATTAGCGGAGATGGTGCCAAGCTTTTTTGACAGATCAGGTTTTTCCTTGGTGGGGATGGATTACAATTACCCACACCCCATTTATCCCAGGGCTGTCAGTTCTTGTGATTTTAACAAAAGTCTCCAGAACTTAGGTATTTCCAAAGCTCCGGCTGCTGAGATGAACGCCGAGCCAAAACCACTCAAGTCCCAAACTTTTGTTTTCAGTTTTGTCTGAAAAACGATCCACTTTCTCAGCTTATCTTTGGTACCTCTCGTGAAATATTTCTTTATTTAGAAAAAATATATGGTTTGGTCCGCATGGCTGTTTCCATGTCCTCATACATAGGAATGCCAGTTGGCTGCAATCTTATTGGCTCAAAATGGAATTACAACCTCTTGGCCAATGACTAGGATTAGGTGATCCCAAACCAGGGGAAAGAAAAGTCCAACTGAGCTGTTATTTTTTGCTGTTAAGTGTTCATCTGTGTGGTATCATAGCTTACATATGTGAGCTAAAGCATCATGAGGAAGAACTTCCTGGAAGTAAGAGCTGTTCACCATCAGAAGAGAGCCAGTGTGGTGTAGTGGTTAAGAGCAGTAGACTCATAATCTGGTGAACCAGGTTCGCGTCTCTGCTCCTTCACATGCATCTGCTGGGTGACCTTGGGCTAGTCACACTTCTCTGAAGTCTCTCAACCTCACTCACCTCACAGAGTGTTTTTTGTGGGGGAGGAAGGGAAATGAGATTGTTAGCCATTTTGAGACTCCTTAAGGGGAGTGAAAGGAGGGATATCAAATCCAAACTCCTCCTCTACCACCACCACCACCACCTCTTCTTCTTCTTCTTTGGAGGTTTTCAAGCAGAGGTTGGATGGTCATCTGTCAGGGTTTCTTTAGCTGTGATTCCTGTATTCTAAACTCTGCAATTCTATGATTTCTGTGAAATGTGCCAGTTTTATTGTGTTCGGTAGTGGCTGGTGCCCATTGGGTCTGGTAGGGAGAAGGGCAAGGAGACTACTGAGGAAATGACAGACAGAGTCAACTGATTCTAGTTTTGTCCCCATCCTCCTCCAGCCAAGGCCACCCTCTGGACTAGGAGTAAGGAAGAAGGCAGGGCAGGTGGTAGCCAGCTAAGACTAGGCTGAGGCTATTAAGGCAATGCCCTCATGGACCAGCCTTCACTGTTTGCAGTCCCTAAACCAGTGAAGAAAAGCCTTATAGAACAGAACCAAGGTTCATCTAGTTGAGGGCCTCATTTGCTGCTGGGCGATTTCTTGGTGGCCACATGCTATGGTGAAGGCCAACAACAAATGCTATTATACAGTTGCAAACCTAGTAAAATACATCAAAATAATAGAATTTCGAACATATGGAGAGTTAAAATATGTGGAACTTGGCTTATATAAAAGGAAGAAACAATCCAATTTTAGGGTGTGTTGAATTTTTCACCTTTCAAATTCCGAAAATGAGGGGTTGCTAAAAAGTTTTAACATGACTTGGGGATTCAAAAGATATTTTGGCTACATTGATACAATTTAGTTTTGATTGGAAAGTAATGTGTGTGTGAAATTGCATAGAAACAGTTAATTATGACTGCCAAGTATTTACAGTTGTAAATTTACATTAATATTTTCAGTATTTACATACTTTATTTACAATAAAGTATTTACATTAATATTTTCAGTGCTGTGATTATATGGGTATAAAAGGGGTGAAACAATATTTCAGGTATCCTGGTCCCAAGCTGTATAATAGGGCTGTATACACCCAAGCCAGGACCTTGGGACTCAGCCCAATAGGAAGTTTTCAAAGGGCAAAAATTCAAGAGTCATGTGCAAAGGGTCTGGTTTGCATGTTTGAAAGAGGAACAATGAGAATTTAAGCCATTGTACACGTGTAAAGCAATGATTCAAAAGGGAGAAAACTTGACATGGCAAACAATGTAAACATAAGAAAGTCACACATCTGCTCACAGCACCAACTGGTCAATACCTACCTATCTTCAGAAGCAAGTGCCAACAACTGCAGCTTTTAGGTCTGGAGCCCCCAGAATTCTGAAGCCAGCGCTGCTTCAGCTGCTAATTTGTGTAAATGTTCAGAGGATGAATCAGAGGCCAAGTCAACAATCTTTAGTAAAAACAGATGCTCTTAGCTCGTCTACTTTCCATACTAGAAGCAGTAGTCACAGAAACGAAACAGGGGTAGCTGGTGCCCATCAGAGCTGGCAGGGTGGAAGGCAGGGAGCCCAACAGTAGGTGGCACTAAGGCCAATGAGAGGCAGAGACAAGTAATGCTAGTTTTGACCCCATCTGCTCTCTACAAGAGTGACACTGAGATAAGCATTAGGAAGCTGAAAGGCAGCTTTACCACCTGGCTGTAAGTAAGGAGGCAGGAGAGGGTGCTGGCTGAAGGCAGACATCGGTTGGTGGGGCAGTGCCCCATAGTATCACAACCTCCACTCGGCCCAGTATACCTGAAGGAGCATCTCCACCCCCATCATTCAGCCCAGACACTGAGGTCCAGCTCTGAGGGCCTTCTGGCGGCTCCCTCAATGCGAGAAGTGAAGTTACAGAGAACCAGGCAGAGGGCCTTTTCAGTAGTGGCACCCGCCCTGTGGAACACCCTCCCATCAGATGTCAAGGAAATGAACAACTATCTGACTTTTAGAAAACATCTGAAGGCAGCCCAGTGTAGGAAATTTTTTAATGTTTGATGTTTTATAGCTTTTTATATTATTATTATTATTATTATTATTATTATTATTATTATTGGAGCCACCAAGAATGGCTGGGGAAACCCAGCCAGATGGGTGGGGTATAAATAATACATTATTATTATTATTATTATTATTATTATTATTATTATTATTATTATTATTATTATCATCATCATCATCATCATCATTAACAACAAGGTGGTACCCGAAAATAAGTTGCACTTACGTCGCTGAGTCTCTCTCGGGAGCTGCTCCGATGGAACCCTTTCGACTCTCCACTCGCACTTTCGCTGTCACTGTCCCGGCAGCTGTTCTGGCCTGGCTTGAGCTGTGGAACAAGAGAGAAATCAAAGTTTGCATCTCGTCTCAGGATCTCATTTTGAAGGCATCAAGCCAGGTGTGGAAAATGCACAAAATCAAATGTGCAAAGGCAGCCATCCGCGCTTGTGTGACTGTACACACAAAGCTGCCTTTCCCCTTATAGCCTGGTTCCTTTCTCCTTCCACACACGCGCAACATGCTGGAATTGTGGTCCATGTCCCGCCACCAGCATCACCAAGTGATGGACACCACCTTAAGTGTCTCTAAAGGAGGACTAGGTATTATTCATGGAGGATAAAGCTATACAATCAGGACAGACAAAAGGAAGCACTACTTCACACAGCATATAGTGAAACTATGGAGTTTGCTGCCACAAGATGTCGTAGTGGCCAGCAAACTGAATGGCTCTAAAAAAGGATTAGATAAATTCACAGAGGTTAAGACTCACAGTGGCTACACTCCCCCTCCACTGTCGGAAGCAGTATGCTACTGAACACCAGCTGCTGAAAATCACAAGTGAGGAGAGTGTTGTTGAACTTGGGTCCTTCTTGCAGACTCCCCATAGGGGCATCTGTTGGGCCACTGTGCAAGCAGTTTGAGCCTGGCTGAGAAAGGCCCTTTTTATGTTTGTATAGCTGATGATGGTCAGTACCTGGCTCCTGTTCCACGTTTAACTATTGGCTAAGTAAGTGCTGACACAAATAAGGGAATCCTGCCTGTGCCAGCTCTTGCACATCTTAACCAAGTCACTACATGGGGTATGTCATTATGGAACTGCAGTCTCTTCACAACTACCAACCCCTAGATAACAGTTTTACAATGTAAACAGAAGCATTTATGAGACAGCAAATAAATGCAGTATAGTTTGAACAGAACCAACCCAAGATGGCACCCTTTTCCTTCTCCCCCTTCAACAACAACAATGGAAGTGGCCCAGGGAAGCCCTGGTATGCTGAAGGCAGTAGGAGAGGGGGGAAAGGAGCAAGTTGTGGCAGCAACAACCTGGCTCTTTCCAGGCAACTGTGAATGGTGCACTCCTCAGGGTCTTCAGAGCTATGCAGAGAAGCAGAGGAGGAGGAGGTGAGCCTCCGCAGGTGGGCAGCTGTTGAGGTTCCTCAGATGTGGCATCCTCCACAACTGTCCCCAGCCTGACACCTGAGGCAACTGTCTCAGTAACAGCGGTGGGTGGGATGGCTCTAAGTTTGAAACTTTATTTTAAAAAAAGAATGGAAAGGAATCCTCAGTAGCCAGGCACTGGGAAAAGAAAATAGAGATAGACATCCATTGTAGCAGGTCTCCTTTCTGGGTTTGTTTGGCTCTCTGTACCATTCACTTTGCTCCTCCAAAGTCCTGGGCTTAGATGCCTCAGTCCTCCAGCTCCCATGAAAATTGCACTGAGAAAAAATGGACACCTGCTGAGATTCACTTGTTTCCCTCTAACCAGCTGGAACTACCACCCAGGGGAAGGAAATAAAAAAAGAGCCTGGCTGAGCACTGACTAATAGCAGGAAGTTGTGCAGAGAATATCCCCAGCCTCTCAGCTGAGCCTCGGGGTGACAGGAGTTTTGTTAGGTCTTTGGCAGAAAGCAACACAAACAATGATCAAACATTTCCTCGCTCGGTGTTAAAGCCGGTTGACAATCTAACGAGATCAGATCCCCAATGGCAGATGGACCCATTGACCAAGCAGCCAAGTGTAAAACAAACAAAGCACCAGGGGAAACAAACAAGCCACTAGCCTGGATACTATTGATTTGATTAGCATTGGTCTGGTCCTGTCAGGCTCCCATCACTAAAACCCAATGACAGCATCTCTTACTTGTAAGAAATAAGAGCTCTTTACTGAGGCTGATCATTGTACAGGCTCAGCAGCAAGTGGGAAGTGAAGAAGTCCAGATTCCAAGGTACCCAGGTAAGGCAGAAAGTTCGTAACCAAATGGAAGATACGGAGATGTCATAAAATCATAAGATTGTAGATCTGGAAGGGAACTCAAGGGCCATCTATTTCGACCCCTTGCCATGTACTAATCATAGCTAAAGAATACCTGACAGATGTCCATTTAAGCGCTCTATGAAAACCTCCCATGTGTCCCTTCAACTGTTGAATAGCTCTTACCGTCAGAAGGTTCCCAACAGTTGGTATGCCCCTCTCGCCAAGCATTTAAAAACAAGGTAGGATGAGCTCACTCATGGGACTCTTGCCACCCTATGGTTGGATCAAATCAATCCAAAGCTTAAGGATCTTTTAGTATCCAACGAACACACCAGCCTATATTTGCCTCCAGGTAAGGTAAAGGTACCCCTGACCGTTAGGTCCAGTCGCAGACGACTCTGGGGTTGCAGCGCTCATCTTGCTCTATAGGCCAAGGGAGCCAGCATTTGTCCGCAGACAGCTTCCGGGTCATGTGGCCAGCATGACTAAGCCGCTTCTGGAGAAACCAGAGCCATGCATGGAAACACCGTTTACCTTCCCGCTGGAGCAGTACCTATTTATCTACTTGCACTTTGATGTGCTTTCAAACTGCTAGGTGGGCAGGAGCAGGGACCGAGCAACGGGAGCTCACCCCGTCACAGGGATTTGAACCGCCGACCTTCCAATCGGCAAGTCCTAGGCTCAGTGGTTTAGTCCACAGCGCCACCGCATCTCAATTGCCTCCAGAGAGCAGAGCAAATCTATGTGTTCCTAGTTTCTGCCCAGCAGAGCAGTGTCATTAGCCCCACAGCATGGTCAGGATTTGCTTATGATGGCAGGAACTGATGCAGGATGAGGCAGAAAGAAAGGAAGGGGCTGAATGGTGGGAACCTGGGTTGAAGAAGGCGGGGATCTCCCCTTTCCACAGGGATGCTGGCTCTCCTTTCTGACCTTCTGTGGACCAAAAAGCCTGAGTGAAGGCTGCTGGGTTAGGGCTTTGATAAGCAAAATGGGGACCCTGAACAGGAGGCAGCAGCCTTTGCAGGTAGTAGAAAACCCACCCACCCTGGTGGATAACTTGCTCACCAGCCAGACATACTGATAAGACAAGAGAGTCCCCTGAGGAAACATGCCATGCCTAATCTTTAAAAGCTGGCGGGATGGGATAGTAAACTTGTTGGGACATTTTCATTTCCCCCTTCAAGTTCTGAACTTCTTGGCCTGCTCCTGCATTGTGACACCTGAGCACTGTGTCTGCTGCTAAACCTATACTATTATTTGTCTGAATGACGTTCTCCTCCTTACTTATAAGTAATAGCCTTTGCATGCATTGGCTGGGAGCCAGGACAAGGAGCCCCTGATTGCATGAGACTGGAAAATCACAACCTCCAGCACGATCTGTAAGCTAACCTGATATATCCTTTGAACGCATAAACAAATAAGTGCTTGTCATCCCACCGTAATGGATCATGTCCACAACCCATAATTGATTTTTTTCTGCTCAGGATGTTCACGTTCTTGCCGCAGAAGGCGCATATGCAAACAAACACATGCACAAATTACACATGAAGCTGAGACGCCTTTCCTGCCCTTCAGTGCATTCAAATATACAGGAAATATTCTCCCCTTAGCCTCCTGCAACTGTGAGCAGAGGAGCTGGAGCCTCTGACAAACTGCAAAAAGCTCTCCGTGCTTTGGCACTCCATGTTAAAAGGGCACCGGCGATCAGCGCAATTGCTCTTGATAGCTGCTTAATTGCTCCTTGTTGGTATTAGACATCTCCAGGTCTGATTGATCCTGCCCTGTTTTTGCCATTACAGTTGCAACTTCCCAATTATCTCCTCGCAAGCCAACTGCAAGCTGGCTTCTGAAACTTGAATAATTTATGTGGCCAGACAGCTAAATGGCTTAAAATAGTATTATGTTTTCAAGTTAATAGCTCAGCCCACAAAGCTTCATTTAGTTCTTGCATGTCTTCTTTAAATATATATATATAGGGGGACCATGAATCAATACCCACCATTCCTTCTTTCCCTGCATTGTTGTTGTTTTTTTTTGGGGGGGGGGACCCAGCACCATCTTTCTTCCCTGAGGAAATAGTTTTCAACTGAGTCAGACCATGACCCATCTAGATTGGGTATGGATCTGCCATCTGATTCAGGGAAAGGGGGGACAGGACCTGGAGTCCTCTAGATTTTTGTTGGGGTCCAAGTCCCATCTCCTATGACCATTGGCCACGCTGGCTGGGGCTGATGGGATCTGGAGACCAACAGGATTTGGAGGGTCACAGGGGCCCCATTTTATTTTTTATGTTGTTGTTTTTTTATTAAAGGTAAAGGTAAAGGGACCCCTGACCATTAGGTCCAGTCGTGGCTGACTCTGGGGTTGCGGCGCTCATCTTGCTTTATTGGCTGAGGGAGCCGGCGTACAGCTTCCGGGTCATGTGGCCAGCATGACTAAGCTGCTTCTGGCGAACCAGAGCAGTGCACAGAAACACCGTTTACCTTCCCGTCGGAGCGGTACCTATTTATCTACTTGCACTGGCATGCTTTCGAACTGCTAGGTTGGCAGGAGCAGGGACTGAGCAATGGGAGCTCACCCCGTTGTGGGGATTTGAACCACCGACCTTCTGATCGGCAAGTCCTAGGCTCTGTGGTTTAACCCACAGCGCCACCCATATTCGCCTTCTCACAAAGCATCAGGGCACTGTGCAACAACACGAAAAAATTAACTACCATGCAAAGCAAACATTAAACAACTAGCTACTCAAAGGGCACTTTAGAGAACTTCATCAGCCTGTAAGCATTTTAAAAAAAATAGTCTTTGTGTGATGCCTGGAAGTAAAATCACACACACACACACACACACACGGCGCATGCTGGATCTCTGCTTAAATAGTCTTCCACAGCACTGGAATTACATTTACATCCTTGCCCACTGCTGCCCTGAATGGGAGGTTTGCCTGGCAAGAGGGTGGATTGACAGAAAGGATTGGTTGCCATTAGGAAGGGGCAGGCAATCCAATTCACTTCATATTTATAGGTGAACCTCCCTAACTCTCCCTTTCCAAAAGAACGCATTGGCCAAAAGACAAT